GAACAAACAAGGGCACAAACATGACGTGTGAGTGTTAGAGTTGTTTGGTATTGCTAAAAATCTCTCTCTCTCTCTCTCAACAAGGGCACAACACACACACAACAGACAGACGGCAGGAAGTGACATGTGAGTGAGACTAGAGCAGACCGCTCCGCCTCTAGCAATCTCGCCGGCCAAAAATATTAAAAAAATCGCCGCTTTGTCTACACAGGTCAGCGAAAAAAGAAACTTAGCGAAAAAAAGAAACTTGGCCGGCATTGTCGCAATAAGGTGATCCGCTGCTGCGTTCGTACCTTGCTGTCGGAGAAGGATTGGCTCAGCGGCGCGATGCAGACCGCGGAGAGCAGAGTGGGGGAGGGGTCCGACAGCCCGACCGCGCGCGCGTGCAAGACGGGCATGCAAAAGCTGCGCGGTCTCTTCATCAAGGGATCCAAGGGTCGGCTGCGCGGCGACGGCAACGACGAGGAGGCGATGGCGGGAAAGCGGGGCACGCTCGAGTACAACGAGGAGGAGGAGGCCATGGAGGAGATTTCCGATCTGCCGGAGATCAATCGCAGCGGCTCCAAGCCCTTTGGTAGCGGGTGGGGCCCAGCCTCTCCGGCGACGCCGCGCGGCCTGCTCGGCGGCGCGCAGCCGGTGGCGCGCGACGCGAGCCTCGAGCACCACGCGCCCCCCGAGTGGGTGGTGACGTACGTGCGGCTGCTGCGTGGCCGCCCTCTCCGCTGGTTCTTCCTCCTCCTCTGGCTCTCGCTCACCCTCTCCGGCGCGTCGATCTACTTTCCCCTCACGCGGATCCTCAAGATCTCGGTGGAGCCTCCGTACGGCTCAGAGAGCGAGGCGAGACGCCGCCGAGAGATAGCCGAGATGGAGCCGAGCTCAGCCTCCGTACTGCTCAGAGAGCGAGGCGAGGCGCCGCCGAGGCAAGACTCTGAACTGCCGCACTCTCTCTCACCGCAGCTCCGCCCGGCTTCTCTCTCTTTCTCTCTCTCAGTCGCTCGCTCGCACCGCAGCACCGCCCGGCTGACTGCGCTCCCGCACCGCCCCGCTCATAGGCGGCGAAGATCACGTACGCGGAGAACTTTCCTCCCGAGCCGGTGACGCTGGTGGCGCTGCTGTCGACCAACCAGCGCAACGCGCCCAACCAGACGCTAATCAACGCCGACGCGGAGATGCAGCTCGAGCTGCTGCCGCCCTTCTTCTCGTACAACCCGGAGGGAGACCTCACCGCGGAGACCGAGTCCATCTCCCTCGACCTCAAGAAGCGCGTCCAGCCCTACCTCGAGCTAGTCGAGTGGCCGGCAGATGTGGCGAGCGGGCAGCAGGCGGGGGAGGCCAGCGCAGAACGCGGCTCGACGTCGGTTCGAGCCTCGGGCGTGCCCGCGCCGCCGCCGTCCCCAGCGCAGCTCAAGCCGAAGTGCGAGTTCAACTTTTACTCCTTCTTCGACATGCCGTTCGAGGCGTGCAGAGAGAGGGGGGGGGGAGGGGGAGAGGGGGGGAGGAGAGGGAGAGGGGGGGAGGAGAGGGAGAGGGGGGGGGAGAGATGGGGCGAGATGGGGAGAGATGCGGAGAGATGGGGACAGATGGCGTGAGATGGGGACACGTGGGGAGAGATGGGGAGAGCTGGGGAGAGCTGGCGCGAGATGGCGACAGATG